TTTGCTATTCCTTTTGCCAACTACTTTTGTAGCTAAATTAATTAATTTTAATTCAATTCATTCTTTTGCTGCCTTTACACCCAGGGAGTGTTCAAGGTGCCTTAGAACTATAAATTCTGCGATCTCACGTTATCACATGCAAAACAGGGAATAACAATAACGATAAAAGAACACTTAAAGAATATATTTCACACTTGGAAGAATCGGGCAAGGCTGTGAAATGTATTTTGCTACAGGTTATTGTCAAACAGTTGTATTTAGGATCACCAGCTGAGGGAGACTTAAGCAGGAAAGACTCCCTCTGGAGTAATTCTGCTGATGTCATCTTTTCACAGAAATGATGGAGGTCGCCCTTTCTCAAAGAATTAAGATCACACACAACCCTAGGCAGGGGGAAAAACCATGCACACCCTCAGAAACAGAATTCCAAATTTAAAATGTCAGTTCCAGCTCTCTGTATCTGTTTATCTTTGGAAGAGAGTTCGGGCAAGTTTACTATTCAGTTGCCAATGCCAAAAACATGCACATGATAAGTAAGGAGTGCATAAGAATATGTTCCTCATATTCAACTACAAAATTGTGTGCTATAATGCTGAAAGTTTGCTTTTAAAAAAAGCCACAAGGAAGCAAGCAAGCAAGCAAGCAAACAAACAAACCAAGCAACATACATGTTTATCTCAGGGTTTTCCAAGTGTTTCAGCATGGAAATTTGTTTACAGGGAGGTGTTTTGCATTCTTAAGTAAACAAAGGTGAACTTTTAAAATTTACAATTTGTCTAGATGAATTCTAATAGAAGCTTGGTCATGAATATGGACTTAACAGAAGTCCTGTATCTTTAAATACAGTTTACTTGAATCCAACTTTTCAGAGATGCCTTATACGAAGTCAGATCAATGGTCTATCCAGGCCTGTATGGTCTATTCGGATTGGTGGGGGTTCTCAAGGGTTTCTGACACAGTATTCTTTCCCAGCTATTAACCTGGAGATGATTTTGAATGCAGAACATGTGCTCAGCACATGTGTGTACTGAGAGCTAAAATACAAAGATCCTTTTCTTCATGCAGAACGTGTCCCTGAAACCAGGTCCTGCATTCACCAAGGGCAGCTTAAGCCCCCATTCCCAGCCATGCTCTTCCGACTTATTTTTTCCTCATATAAGTGAATACTATCTAGGGAGGAAAATAACATGCTGCGCTTAAACGCAGCACTATGTGGTAGTAGTGAGCCTTTCCGCCACTCCTGATGCAAGATGGCCCATTCTTCCCCCAACAAGACGTTGTTCTTTTTCTCTCATATATACACTTCTCAGGTGGGTCTGCTGCAATAAATAGGCTCTCCTTCCAAAACACCTTGCTCACCATAATGATAGTAATTTTGCCACTTAAATAATGTCTATGAAAGCAGTAACAGAACATATTGTGGTACCTCCACCCTAAGGATTTGTGTGAGCTCATCTGCCCGATTTGCCACTGCAGCCTCCCGTGCCGTAGTCGGATCATGTTTTCTGACCACCGACGGCATTGTAGTTGCTTACACGCTGCCGGTGCTTACGAACAAGTAATGAAACATCTAATGGAGCTATCAGAATTTAAAACAATTCCTCTTACACACTGTGTTCTTTCCGTATGAAAGCCTTTAGGCCTTAAAAGTTTGAGGCTACTATAAATAGCTGTGCCACCGTTGATGTTGCAGTAAAAATTACACATCTGTGTTTATGCACTTCAGTAACTAAGCTAATGTCAAGGGCACTTTTGCAGAAACTTATTAAGTTGATTAAGTGATTAAGAATCCGGCATAGGAGATACCCTCCATTCAACCATAATTCTGTTTAAGCGAATCTGAATAACCATCCTACACTAAATGTCAAAATACTTTACGAAAAGGCACTCGGCAAATGGGACTGATGAAAACATTACATCATCTTAACTGCACAAATACCCTCCTTGAGGAATATGCTGCATTTATATTCCCCACCCCCACCCTGGTGACCTTTCTTTTCATTCTGAGAGTTTTAACTGAATGAACAATTGGTTTGGATAAGGAAATGCGGCTGTAGCAGTGTGCAGAAATTTCAGCCACATTTGCAATTACTACAAATGAACTCAGAACTAGGAATTTGGCAAATTCAGCCTCCCTGCCCCCAGTTATGAACTGGGCCCAAGTCTCTTCGAAGTCAGGCCTTAGTCCTAACGTGGTCTTGCTCTTATTGCTCCCTGCCAGTTTTCCCACCCCTTCGAAGCTAAGCCCCTTGAGGAGATTTGAAGGAGATGGCTCACTGATAGGGCCAAGAGAGCCTTTGAAGATCTCTGGTCCACCGTAAATGGAGAAACGCTTTACCATCCCTACTGGGTCTCATGGGATTTGTATTTTCCTATGGCTCCCAATTCAACGGATTTTGATTGGAAGTATGTGAAAGAAATGGGCATTGGGGGGGAGCAATACTTTCACATTTTGTTTTCCCCTGACATCTCAGAAGATGCATAGGTAGTACTGAATTTTTCACTGAGAAAGCAGAGAAATGAAGAGGGAAAACTTTCCAAGGCGACATTTTCTTCTGCCATGCTCATTTACAATACCTCACAGTTAAAAGCAGTGGCAGTTTCCTCGTTATGTGACAAGAAGTATTACTAGCTGTGTATCGTATTTAAATTTAGAACACAGTAGTAGGTCATGAGAGAAAGATGATGCCCATTCCCTTTCCTCTATAGCAAGCATGGCCAAACTTGGCTCTCCAGCTGTTTTGGGACTACAACTCCCATGAACCCCAGCTAACAGGACCAGTGGTCAGGGATGATGGGAATTGTAGTCCCAAAACAGCTGGAGGGCCAAGTTTGGCCATGCCTGCTCTATAGTGTGCTTCTCAAAAAAGTAAAGGAGTTGGCAAACCACACATCACTGATTGCTTCTCTTTACTCACCAAAATATATATCATCTATCTATCTATCTATCTATCTATCTATCTATCTATCATCTATCTATCTATCTATCATCTATTTATTGCACACACAGCACTAGACAATAATAGTGAATATTCCTAGCCTAGCCTTCTACCTAACTGTGTGCTAGTCAGCTACATCTTGTGATTACTGCTAGTCAGTTATGCATAGGAATGCAAATACAACATGCTATGTCACCATGCAAAATCCTATGCTATTTAAAATGCTTTGCATTTTATTCCAGTTTGTGGCAAGGGAAGTGTTGAGGCTGAGGAAAATGAGGAATGAGAAACAGCAAGAAAAACCACTTGATTCACAAACTGAAGTCACTCCAGATTTCTCAGAGCTTGTTCTCTCCTCCCCCCCCCCCCTTGCCCCCACAGGCAATGGTTGGCAATCAGCATGCCTTGTTTGAAGAGGATAGATGCTGCCATTTCCCCCTTTCTTAAAAAAACAAAGTTTCAACCATCTTGTAAACAATGACTTCTTAATTTTAAATTTCAGATGCAGAAAGCGTTGTACCCCTAAATCATGTTCCTCAACAATAGTAGGAGCTCTACCTCGACAGCACAACCATTATATGGTGACCTCCCTTCTTTCCATGTTTGGGTTTTATTCTCCACAAAGGAGTTTTAAAGTTTGCTCTGAGCACTTTTCCCCCTAGTGGGTTCTGATATGTTACAGAGTGAAACTGCCTGGAAGGTAGCGTGGGCAGAACAGCCTCTTTCAGATTGGATGCTGGACACAGGACTGTGATTTGTGATAACTAGAAGTATGCTAGTAGGAAAAAGCAACAACACTGATTAATCCCAGTGAGATTCTGTGCGCCTCCTGTGGGGCAGGCAGTTCTGCAGAATGTCTGCAACAGGAGCAACTGAACATTCAGTCACAGACAATGCAGCAATATGCTGGAATTGCTTTCCCTCAGAGGAGGTTACCCGTTTAACCTCTGCGAGAGTCACTGCTCTGTGTGGGTTTTCTTCCAATCTTCTTGGGTGTTAAAACAAAATTTTAAGTCACATTTTACTCTAACAAAATAACACATTTTAAAATTATTATTATTATTATTATTTTGAGAAATGCTAAAAAATTACACACAAAACTGCTGCCCTCCCTCACCCCCTACATCTGATTTACAGCTCCCTGTCGAAGCTGCGTTTGGAAAACTCTGCAAGGGAAAGAGCAACCTGGAAGGGAATAGTTTGGAACAGAGAAGAAGCCAGTCTCTGCTCCAAATGTAAGATGTCTCTGATTGTAATGAGTAGATATGGGGTGAGAAATCAAGTAAGGGTACTAACATAAGCTAAGTGTCAGAAGGCAATTACCCCAGTAGAAACGAACACAAATAGTGTAATTTTCCCAGTAGGGCTGCTTGGACCAGTCCACTTGCAGGAAGAATCAAGCTTACATGCCAAAGGTAAGCTTTCTTTCCCCTTGGGAGAGCAGGTATAGACCAGTGAACCCTGCCAGGTCTTTCGTAAGTGATTGAACAAGGTTTGAGCTTTTGCAAGAACTTAACAAAGTGATTGCAAAATACTTGACCTGTTTAGGAAAGAGCTAAATGAGTAGCCAAGAGACTCACTGAGTGGTATTTTAGCCCACTGCTGTCTCTCAGCTTCAGGGTGTTGTGAGGGAAAGGCAAACTACATTTTCTTGTGTTCCATTCTACAAATGGAATAAACACTAAAAATAATAATAATAATAAATAATTTATTTATTTATACCCCGCCCATCTGGCTGGGTTTCCCCAGCCACTCTGGGCGACTCCCAACAGAATATTAAAATACAGTAATCTATGAAACATTAAAAGTTTCCCTAAACATGCTGTTCTTTATTGAGGCTTTCTAAACCAGTGGCTCTCAAACCACAAGTGTGGCTATAAAGCACACGTGGGATTTGCGTTTGTGTGGCGCCCCCCCCTTCCCGCTGCCTCCATCAACGACATCTGTGTGCAAACCTTTCCTTATAAGCTAATGGGTGGTGGTCTTCCCAAACATGTCAAATATGCTAGGATCAGGGAGCTGAAAAATGGCCAGTCTCTGCCAGTGTTTCCCAGCCTTGGGTCTCCAGCTGTTTTTGGACTACAACTCCCATCATCCCTAGCTAGTCAGGGATGGTGGGAATTGTAGTCCGAAAACAGCTGGGGATCCCAAGGTTGGGAAATACCGATCTGGCCTATTATCAGACTAACTAAACCATGGACCAAACTATTCTCAAGTGTAAACAGCAACAAAGTCTTTGTCAGGCTCATGGCCTTCAGCAGTTTACGAGCCAAGACACAAGTAATAGAAGTGAGCAGCTGAAGTATTGTGGGATGGGGTGTACCCAAGTATATTGTTGGCTTTCAAAGTTGGGGAAGAAAGGCCATTTGTGCCTAGGCTCACTTGGGAGTATGTCAGTTGGTGTAGTCAGACGTTGGCCCTTCTGTGCTTGTTCAATGCAAAATGAGGATCCTGTTAAAAATTTTCAACAAAGCAAGAGAAGGGCTGTAGATACCAGGTTCAGTCTGTGGCATCTCCAGCTAGGGTTGGGAGAGAACCAGTCTGTAAATCCTAATAATAATAATAATAATAATAATAATAATAATAATTTTTATTTATACCCTGCCCTCCCCAGCTAAGGCCGGGCTCAGGGCGGCTAACAAGCAATAATAAAAACAAGTTGAATGAAAACAAGATTAAAATACAACATTAAAATATTGAAACATTAAAATATTAAAATGCAGCCTCATCACAGGAAGAGAAAGGAAAAAGAAAAAAGAAAGAGGGGGAGGGAATCAAATTGGCTCCAAGCCAAAAGCCAGGTGGAACAACTCTGTCTTACAGGCCCTGCGGAAAGAAATCAGATCCTGGTCTCATGAGACACAGCGTTCCACCAGGCCGGAGCCAGTGTTGAAAAGGCCCTGGCTCTGGTTGAAGCTAATCTAACTTTCTTAGGGCCCGGGACCACTAGGGTGTTGCTATTTATGGACCTTGAGGCTCTCCATGGAGCATACCAGGAGAGGCGGTCCCGTAGGTACGAGGGTCCTAGGCCTTGAAGGGCTTTAAAGGTCAAAACCAGCACCTTAAATCTGACCCTGTACTCCACCAGGAGCCAGTGCAGCTGGAAAAGCACTGGGTGAATATGCTCCCATGGCAGAGACCCTGTGAGGAGCCTCGCTGCAGCATTCTGCACCCGCTGGAGTTTCTGGGATAGCTTCAAGGGCAGCCCCACGTAGAGCGAATTACAATAGTCAAGCCTGGAGGTGACCGTCGCATGGATCACTGTGGCCAGGTCAGGGCAGGAAGACAGAGACCTAGAGAGAGACAGCCAGTCACTGAGCTAGAAAGACCAATGGTCTGTCTTGGCATAAGGCATTTTCTTACATCCCAGATGTAAATAGAATATTAAATGTTGGCGGCCAGATGAATAGGAACTATTTCTCACTATCGGTAAATCAAGGTGGATGAATGCTCACAGAAAGAAGATTTCAAACTGGCTTCTTTAATCTCATAACATTCAAAACCCTAAAATGTATTTTGCATAATTGACTTTTTATTTCTATTCTTTGCATATCGTATTGTTGTTTTATTGCTATGGCCGAAGGCTGAGGCAAATAAAGATTCATTCATTCATGACATTAAGAGGAGTGACAAGTCTCAGCCATCCATTGCTGCTTTTGCCATTTTCTCTGGTAGCCTCTGCCTGGATTATTCAATTTGCCACTCCCCTCACTCTTTGATCCAAGAGAGGGGAAACGCTGGACAAAGGCCACCTGGCTATAGGTTTGTCAGGGGAGGCCTGATGCTCCACGTCTCAGATGTGCTTTCTATCCGCACTAATTATTCTGAGCCGAATAGTCTTCATGCTTGTTTATGTTAATTAGAAACCTTTTAATGATGGTGTAATTGCCATAACCTTGCTTAGACATGTAAATTCACAGAAAAATCAAAGTTTTGTGGGCTGGAGAGGAAATGGGTAACCTGAGCTCTATAAACTATTTGCTGTATTTTGTGAGGTATTTGTAAAATACTCAAACATTAAGCGGACTGTATTACTTGATTACATGGAGTCACCCATTAAGACGCCTCCACAAGCTTGGCCACATGCAAGTTCCACAAGCAGAGGTGCTCCCTACTTGAGAACAAGACCGAGGAACCTTCACCCCTCCAGATGTTGCTGAACTACAACTCCCATCAGCCCTAGCAAGCACGGTAAGAGCCAGGGGTGATGGGAGTTGTAGGATTGGAAAACCTTAGCAAGATGCTGGAGGACCAGAAGTTCTTCACACCTGGCTTAGACAGATATGTCACCTACATGGAACTATTTGTTAGTTTGCTTTTTGAAAAGGTTAAGCACACCTGAAGCGAAGAAGAGGAGGTTAAGGGGTGATATGATAGCCATGTTCAAATATATAAAAGGATGTCACATAAGAGGAGGGAGAAAGGTTGTTTTCTGCTGCTCCAGAGAAGTGGACACGGAGCAATGGATCCAAACTACAAGAAAGAAGATTCCACCTAAACATTAGGAAGAACTTCCTGACAGTAAGAGCTGTTTGACAGTGGAATTTGCTGCCAAGGAGTGTGGTGGAGTCTCCTTCTTTGGAGGTCTTCAAGCAGAGGCTTGACAACCATATGTCAGGAGTGCTCTGATGGTGTTTCCTGCTTGGCAGGGGGTTGGACTCGATGGCCCTTGTGGTCTCTTCCAACTCTATGATTCTATAAGCAGAAACGTCACGAAACTATGAGTTATTTTTCTTCTGTGCACCGACTGCCGATTAGGACTGGGCAACAGCAGCTTCTCAACGTTGCTGTGTATTGCCAGCTAAATATTGTGGTTTGGCGATATACCGTGATGTTGGGGGGGAGGGGGAATTGGCCTCTGCCCACGAGATACTGCGTGAAATCGCCTCAGCTCTCAAGGTTTCACCCAGACTCACAGGCTGGGAAAATGAAGCTTGTTTTGCACAGTTTGCTAATATACTTAAAGGGCCATGTTATTTATGCTTCAGCCACTAACTACTGTATACTCTGCCTCATTCTGTGAAATAATATCAACGAAAGCATAATACAATTTAAAAGCAACTAGTTTAAAACCTTATTAGCTGGGATTTTTTTCTGCATTAGTTCAGTATGTTTCAAGAATACAACATATACTGAGAGGGAAGGACATAAAAAAATGCCCTTTTTAAAAAAAGGAAAAAGGGTAAAGGGAACTCATCTCTCACATCAGCAGATATCCACTGTGCAAGTTGGATGTAGTTGATTAAGATGATTAGCAGCTTGCTCCTCATTTGTTCATAGTAAGCTTGCATATTACTCCCTGAAGGCAGGGGGCAGATAACACAACCAAGCACTGAAGCAGTACATTGACAATGAACTACCAGTTTTCACTTTACTGGGTCTGCCTGTAATTCTGTCACTCATTAGGAACCAGCTCCTGAACACCATGTAGGCACAGCATCCTTACGACAAGAAGAATCTAATTAATTCTGCCCAACAGGTAAGAGATGAAAGGCCGGATGATTAAGACATGGAATTCAATGTACGTATGTTTAAAATTCTGCATTTAGAATCCATAACCATGAGTCACATAGCCTGCAGTGAGGAAAAAATGTGAGCAACTCATGATTATTTTCTTGGGACAGAGGTCTTAAAAGAGGCTTAAATCATTAAAAAAAGGGTCCTGAAAGTCTTAAAATAGAATGTTAAAAAACAAACAAACCCAACCACCACATTACATGTTTTGAGAGAGTTTAATTCTGTCCCACCCAGCCTGCCTATAGTTTTCAATTCAGTAACTCATTAGAAACAGCAGGAGCGTGGAAAAAAATTGCGGCCGAAACAACGCACCGTTGTACCACTTGCTTTTCCACACATTGCCCAGTACCTGTCCTGCATCTGCCACTGACAAGAAACCTGGCTTCCTAATGAATATATGTATATGATATACATGTTTACAAGCACAAGATTGCCCTTAGCCATTTCTCACAAGTACATTCTTAAAATAACTTCGCCACAATCCACCAGGAAACTTAGGTCCGCTTAACCTCATTGAAATGTCTTCCTCAGCTAAGCAAATGCAGAAGCGCACTGCTAATCCTTAGCATACAGTACAATAAATGAAAAAATAGTCAAACCTGTGACTAGTTCTCTGATTTCCAAATCTGTAGTCTTGCGCAGTAATCGTACTAGTGCTGGAATACCCCCACAGTTTTTCAAAGCAATTTTGTTGTCGTCGTTGGCTTTCCCATACACCAAATTCCTCAGCGCTCCACAGGCACTACGGTGGACTTCTGTCATTCGATGGTCCAATAGGTCCACCAGTAACTGTATTCCTCCTTGTCTTCTTATCTGCAACATTAATGTTCAAATTAAATTCAAAATCAGTGGCTGATAGTCAATGAGAGTTTTAAGGTATCAATAGTTTTTAGATAGCCGTTAGAAAGGAGAGAGCACATGTGCACATTAGACCGCTTTATTTGCTTTCAAAGGAACTATGGGAAATAAAAGCTCTTGATATGGGAAGAATAAAATTCCAATCAAATGATCTTTTGTTAGGATGGCTGAGAGTAGCGTATCCCAACATGCCTCTTTCATTCGACAAATGTTTTTGTGTCACTGGGAAGGCGGTAAGTCTGTATTGATTTGCTATGGATATTTGTATGTGATGCCAATAAAAGGTTTGATGATGATGATGAAATTCCAATCAAAGCAACTGTACAGGTGCTGGAAGAGAAATTCCTCCCACCACCACTTGGAGGGAACAAAATAAGCCACCTTCAGGGACATGAGGCACCACCTGCACTTACAAATTGATTTCATGGTGTATGGTGACAGCTGTCATCAGAATTATTGCCCAGAACAATGACTGGAACACCAGTTTCTAACTGCTCCCACTAATTATGTATCAACACTGTATAATTCAGCTATAGCACTTTCTAGATTGCCCAGAGAAAGGTATCAACAAATACTCGGTATCTGCAGGAGTTACAAGGAAATTGGTGAGTTGACAATCTACAAGACATGCTATCATTCCCACTTGCTATGGAACTAGGCAGAAAAATGTGGTCTTTTGAAATATGTGTATATCTGGAAACTTATGCGGACATCATTATCAATGTGAGAAAACTTTCAAGAAGACAGCAGACTCTCCGCTGCCAGACAAA